CACCTGGGCCAAGAAAACCAGCAGGAAACTCTTTTATCTTACTAATAGTGATTTATTCCCATTGAAACTCAGATATCAGATGATGTCCACTCTATTGTAGCATGAGGGGCGAGTCATGGGAGGAAATGGACTGAAAAAAACAGTCCTTAAAGCCTGATTTCTAACTCTGAGACACTTCCATGAGTTGCCTACATATCCATGCAGGTTTTTAGTAGATGTCTTTATGCTCATGTAGAAATACAGCTTTGCCCAGCCAGTCCTAAAATTTTGAACAAGTATCTCCTCATCTCAATTTTCCCCCATGAAAAAATGGGGCAGGAAGCAGAAATCCTTGAGGGGCAGGTGCCCTGGAAATGCCTTTGCTGAAGGGCTGGGTTTGTGGCCGTGGCTGAAATGTCCATGCTGTGGAGAAGGAAGACTTTAAACCGGAGCAGGGCAGGAAGCTGTGGGAAGCCTGAGTTTAATCTGCTCCGTGTGTGAGTCAGAGCCCTAAATCTTCACATCTTCCGAGGCTTTTGCGCTGCTGCCACGTTGGCTATGAGCAGCCAGCGCTCTGCTTTGCCCAGCTCTGTTTGTGTCGAGGCCAGGCTGGGGCTTTTTCACGTGTGCTAATGGGATAAAAGTGGTTGGGGTTGCTCCATCCTTTCCCAGAGAGGTTCAAGGTCTGCCTCGGTCTCTATTTCCATCTAGACAGCTCTTGTCAAGGAAAAAGACAAAGGCAGAGTTTGTTTAAAGGGGAGGAACACATAAACAAAGTCGGTGGAAGTAAAGAAATCAAAATGCCAGCAGCCAGCGAGAAGCCTTTGCCTTCGTCTCCTTTCTTAATCTAATTTTGCAACTGCAAAAATGTGGTGGAAATGGGAACCTGGCAAGAGGCACAGGCTGAGTCCACGATTAGGGCTCTATAAATCTCAGCGTGTCTCTCCTAATTACTCCAACAGGAAAGCATTTAATTGTGTAACCAGGATACCCTGCCTGACCCAGGCACACAGCACTAACCCTAACCTGGTTATCTGCCTTTGTTTCTCGACTAGTTAAATATAGATCAGCCAGACAGATCCGCCTGACCAAACAGGGAAAGCTCCTGTGGGAAAGTAACCTGGGCTTGAACCTGTCCCAGTGCTGGCTTGGAGCTGGGTTTTACACCCTCTTTCTTCCTGGGCATGTTCAATTTGTTAATTTGATGTCATTTACTTCACCAGTTTTTGCCACAGTCAGGTCTGGGTGTGATTTGTTTCTGTGGGGTGTTGCTGAATTTGTGCCACTCTTTTCTTCTGCAGATTTGTCCTGCCTAAATACTGCTTTTCTAGGGGATATTAGATGGACATAAGTCCATGTAACAAGCAAAAAAAAAACTCCTTTCAGCCTTGATTATGGCCCTGATCCCAATTAAATGTTGTCAGGGACAGGACATGGCACTCAGTTGACAAACTGGTCATCAAGGGCTGGACTTGATGATCCCAGAGTTCTTTTCCAAATCTAAAAGACTTTGATTGTGTGGTCATACTGAGGATCTCAGTTTGACCCTGCTGCATTTTAAGAGCTTTCCAGGGGCAAAGAGGCACCGTGGCAGCCCTGGGTGCTGAGCCCTCAGTGCCACCTGCTTTCCCCTAAGTGTCCTGGGCTGCATTGCTGGCTCAGGTATCACGGAATTATCAAATTATTAAGGAAAAGGTCTCCAAGATCATTAAGTCCAAATTTCACCTGGGAGCTCAGCTCTTCCTGGGTGTTTTATGGCTCTCTGTTAAAGGTTTCCCATTGACCCTGAATCCCAGCCCTGCAAATCCTCCTTCCCATGAGGATCCCGACCCTCTCACCTTAATTTTCTCCTCAGATGGATGTTAAAATGGTTTGCTATGAAGTATATCTGCCTGCAGCTGTATGGAAATTAATCTTCCTAAAAGTACTGATACCTGACTGGTCAGCTTTTGGATTTCTTTTTTGGACATGTTTCATATTGCTCATATTCCCTGATTTATAGGGACATCCTGATGGATGTGGTGTAGAAGGGACATAGGCCAAATTATAGAGATGATATTTATGAAATAATTTATTTAACTGTGATTAGGGATGAGAGAGGGAGAATTGCAAAAGGAAACTCTGTCAGGTCAGTGTCTGCATCCTCTCCTTCCCTCCTCACATCCCCACACATATTCCTTACCCAGAGCCTGTGCCAGCAGAGGCTACAACCATCAGTTGCATTTGATGTTATGGACAGCTTCTTGAAATTGTTGCTACTTTTTTAAATTAACAAAGCAAACAGTGAAAATCAGAGGGTTTGGCAGGGGACAGAGAAACCACATCTCTCCCTTCTCTTAGCTACATGTCATAACAAAACCCTGGGCCAAAGAATTAAGAAATTTTCTAAAAATGTCCCCGCGATAGTTGCCAGGGTATCTGTCTGTCTGAGCATACACATGAGCATATCTGCAAGAGTTTTTTTAATGCTGTATTTTAAAATAAAAGGGCTTCTTTCTTTATAATCTGAATCATCATCAGTGGATGCTAAGGAAAAGATTTCCTCTTCCTTGGGAGATGAGAAACGGCTGTAAATGTGCACAGAGATAAAAAGGGAGGGATCTTGTCCTGTTGGAACGTGTTTTGAGGGACACCTGGGTGGGTTTAGCAGGCTGCAGATGGTCATGCAAAGGGTTAAAAGGTTCCCAGCCACACTCACCTGTGGGGCTCTGCAAGCAGGGCTGGCTGTGCTGCCAAGAAAAGGGTTTAACCTAACTCAGGGCAGCTCAGGACCAGGAGAGAAGCTTGTGAAATGAACAATTTCACTTTTCCAAGTGCTGCAATTATTTACTTTTATTTTTCTCCAGCATTTCTACAGATGCACTGATGTTTCCCCTCACTTCAGCAGGTTTCTCCACCATCCTTAACCCCACGGAAAGTCCTGTTACGTATCACACACAATATCTTTAAAAAATCCATTCCAAATCCTTGGACAGTGTGAGAAAACTGGAGGATAAATTGCAAAAGACCACATTATACCATATAATCCACAGCCCTGCGATGAAATCTCCCCAAAAATCATCCTTTAGAGCGAGCTCAGTGTGTTGTAACACGGCTGCCTCTCCAAGAGCCAGCTAATATCATCTCTTAGGAATTTATTATGAGTCTTCTATGCCCTGTAACTTTTTTTATGTCAGGTTGTTAATCGCAGCAAGCAGGATGTGTTGAACGCACACGTTTGGGTAGGAAAGATTAATTCCACCCTGGCATTTGCCACTCAAAAGCTTTGAGGGGAAAAGGAATATCCTCATCCAATGCCATCAGTGTTGCTGGTTTAGTGCATCCAAAGGGATGCAGGGGGTAAGACAATTTATAAAGAAGTGTTTTCCAGTTGGGAAACATCATAAAGTTGTTTTTGGGAATAGCCACGCACAGCCCCCACGCTGTATTTTTTAGTGCCCAGCACACATTTCCCTCTGATCCATCTTTCCGTCTGTCTGCTCGGTTTAATTGCTCCGCCGTGGGTTTTAGACTGTTTCTCACTGTATTATTTTAATGATCCTTTGACTGAGTCAGACTGGAAGAATCCCATAAACTTCAGTGACACTGGGGGTGATGTGGATGGGCACAAATCAGCCTCGCTCACAATCCTTCCCGGGACTCCCAGGGGAAGACAAACAGTTTCAAGGTTTGACCTAAAAAATTTGGCTGTGGCTTGAGCTGAGCCCTACAAAGAAGCACCACAGATGGGTCTCTGTGGTCCAGCTGATAGAAGGTTTCCAATAGCTTTTCTAGCTTCACTGTGACCATTTTTGCTAGAAAAGCATAAAAATCTCTGGCAGCATTGGTGCCAGGCAGCTCTGGGGAGTGGACACTGGGGGTGGCAGTGTCAGGGAAGGACAGCCGGTTCCAACACGTTTTCCATCAGTTTGCCTGTCCAAGCAGAGACATGCATGTTACAGAAATTCACTGAGCCATCCCAGAAATCAAAGCGCTTTTGGCAAGGGAGGGAAAGGAGAGCAATTTCACCTGCTGCTGTCTTCAGGCCAAAGCTGCTGACAGAGCAGTGTGTGGCACAGGCACCTAAGGGCACAGCTGGAGCTGAGGGAAGGGTTTTTTGGGATGCTCCTGGGCAGCTGTGGGGTTGCATCAACTCTCTGAGCATCAATGCAATAGCTGGGTGACTCCAGAGATGCATTCCTTGAAGCCAGCATCATGTCAGCAGCACCAGCTACGCCGCCCTACACTGCACAGATTTATCCATCGCTTGGAACAAGCAACTCTGTCACCTCTGGCTCGAATTATTTGTTCCTCCACATAACTGGAGATGCCTGTGGAGTGTGGGGTCCCTGGGGTGAGTGCTGGGGCTTGTGCAGGTGATGGGGCAGGAGGGACCTCAGCTGCTGCTGGTGGTGCCAGGGGATGGGGGTGGGAGGGTGGCAGCCCCTGTCAGAGCGTGGTCTGGATGTCACAGGGGAAAAGAGGGGACACTGTGACTGTGCCCTGTGGCTCCAGCTTGTGCAAGGCTCAGCCTGGCTCATTGTTTTGGGCAGGACCACCAGATGAGCTGGGATGTGGAGGGTGACACCAGCTCTGGGATTTCTGCCGGGGTTTCAGCGCTGGGTTGGTGCAGACAAATCCCTGCGCTTGTGGCACATAACTCAGGGCACACAGACTCCTGCTGGGGATGGCAGAATCGTGGAATCACTGGTCATGGGAAAGAGCCCTGGGATCATCAAGTCCAACCTTTGAATGGTCACCACCCCTTCAGCTGGACCAGAGCACATCCAGAGCCACATCCAGTGGTTTCTTCCACACTTCCAGGGATGGTGACTCCACACATCTCTGGGCAGCCCCTTCCTGTGCTTGACATTTTACTGGATCAGACAGAGTCTGGAGAGGGGTTTTGTGGCACCCCAATAGCTGCAGAGATATTGATCAAGGATTGAACCCGTCCTGGTGGGGTTGAGTGCTCATTCCAGTCAAACATGAGGGAGGGAGAGGAGGGTCCAACCATGCTGCCCACCCTGGTGGAGGTTTGCCAGCTCCTGTAGGGCTGATGGGCCTGGTTTATTCTGACACTCTTGAAATCTGGATCATGGTTATTATTTATGCACTGGTATTAGCAGCAATTTTTCTTTTTTCTTCCCTCCTGAAACTTGTCCTAAAGAACAGAAAGAGAAAGATATAAGTAACACATTTTCAAATGTTCTTTCCTAGTGAATTACTTGGCCTGACATTGGAAATGAATTATTTTCCATTGTACCAGTGACCCCTGTTGTGTGTTCTATTAACACCACATGTTAAACTTTTATATTTTTAGTAAACCATGACCTTGTACATTCTCTGTCATTTCCCACTGGCATGAGTACAACACATGTGGTATGAAAGTTAACGGTTTTCATTTGTATACAGAGCTTTTCTATCTCAGGCTTGTATGAAAACACACAGGTCATGGTAATCAGGGCATCCCAGGATTTCACCAGCTACAAACAGTCACAACAAAGTGGATGTGTTTTCCAAAAAACATATTTTTGGCATCCTGCTTTCTTCTGTGTTGTGCAAATCCAGATGAAAATGGGATCTTGAAAGGCTGTGTTAAATTTTTTGATCGTGCTAATCCAAACAACTGTCTCCAACACATGCACGAGCAGGAGGAAGTCTATAAAATGTCAGGTTTGGTCTAAATATCTGCAGAACAAATGTGGCTCAGGAACATGACCAAGTGTGCAGGACTCTGTAGATAAAAGATGATGTCACAGAGGTTTGGTATTTTATTTCATCAAATGGTAACATTGCCCTAGACATCTAAAAAATTATGGATGATTTATGGATAGAGCCCAGGCTATGGAAGAGAGAATAATTCCTTCCAGTTGCCCAAATATTTCTTTTTATTTTTCCACCCCCCTCTTTTTCTTTTTATCTTTTTTTTTGTGGCCTGGGCTTTTTAGATGTGAGGTTTAGGTGCACTGGAGTGTGCTCTCAGCTCATGCCTGCTCACACAGAGAAATGTGCCCATATTGAAAACACTGACCTGTGTGCTCATGTGGGTTTTTCCCTGAAATCCAGCCTGTCCTGTAGGCATTTCCTGCACTGATCCCTCTCTTTTCCTGGGCTGATCCACGGGGGTTCCTGAAGCATTATGGCTGATAATGAGAACTCACATCATGGCACAGCTGCCCAGGGCAGTGGTGGAGGGATTTAAAAGCCTTGTGGCACTTGGGGACGTGGGTTAGTGGTGGCCTTGGCAGTGCTGGGTTAAGAGCAGGTCTTGCTGATCTAAAAAAGCTTTTACAGCCTTAAGGATTTTGTGATTTTGTGTTAAAAAAAAGGGCAAAGTTTGAAGTTTCAAAGGTTGAGGTTTCCTCAGCTGCTTTGCTGGACTCAAGGTCAAGACATGGAACATGATCCAGCAAGGAGAACTTTGCAGGTTTCCATGATCACACAGCAGCAGTGAATGAAATGGAAAAAAAAGAGTGAAAATGTGTAATTTCATGGAATCACAGATGGTTTGGGTAGGAAGGGATCTTCAGTCCCACCCTGCCATGGCAGGGACACCTTCCACTGTCCCAGACAGCTCCAAGCCCTGTCCAGCCTGGCCTTGGGCACTTCCAGGGATCCAGTGTCAGCCACAGCTTCTCTGGGCACCCTGTGTCTCACCCCCTGTCATATTCACCTGCATTTGCTCCCCTTTCCATGCAGAACCTCAGGATTTCTCCACCTGGAGACATCTCACATGAGGAGCTCAAGCACCTTCCCAATTGATTCTGGCAGTGCAATCATGCTTGGAGCTGTGCTCTTCCAGCATTCCACCTGCTCTTGCTTCCCTCTCTTTTGCACCCATCACCTGCAGGCTGGCAGCACCTCTCAGCCCTGGGGGTGCCCTGGGTCACTGCTGGGGACAGGGACAGCTGTCCCCTGCTTCCCAGGGCTCCGAGATGCTGCCTCAGACTTCCAGGCTGGCAGCTTCCAACGTGACATAATCCTGTTTGTGATGTAACATCACGTCTGCCAGGACAAACTTCCAGTGTTTGGCTTGGGCTCAGATTCTGTAACTATTGTCTCAACAATCCCATAAAGATTTCTTTTTGTCTCCTCCTGGTGCCGTGGCCATTGTGGCATGATCTGGGTGTTTCTAACAAAAAAAAGCACATCCCCTGGGAGTAAGACCTCAAAACAAATTGTGTTTGCACTCATCCTCTGTGGTAAAGATTTTCTTTTGTTTTTTTTTTATTTGCCCTTTAGGGTTTTTTTCAGAATGGGGTTTAATGTTCTCCCAGCACTCAAGTCAGAAAACAGGAATGGAGAGGAACAGGTAGGTGGGAAACAAATATCTGGGGAAAAATCATATTTGCTCAAAGGGTTGCCCTGGTTTTGGGGTGTTTCCAAAGCTTTTGCTGGGTTCATATTTATGCTACAGGTTTTCCCAGAAAATCACTCCTGAGTTTTCTGTATTCCTGATTCCCTTGCAGCCTTAGAAAGTCCTGGAACAGGACAACTTGATGCACTCATGGTGATAACCAATAAAACAGATTTTTTCAGGGATCCCAGTTATAAAGAAGTTAATAAATTAATGGATTTCTGCATCTCTTCTGTGTAATGAAAAACAAACCAACCCAGCTCCATTTATCCACCAGGTCTGCAAGTGTGACCTGCCAGAGATGGGGAGAAATCTCCTGTCAGCAGAGATGATGAGAAGGATGGAAGGGAGAATACAGGCAGGAGGTGATGGAGGAATGGTGAGGAAATGTAGCTGAGAGAAAAGAAATAAACAAATCAAACAAAGAAGGTTGCAGGGGGAGAACCTTTGCAAAAAAGGGCCAAGGAGGAAATAGGAGACAGAAGCATGGTTATGTATGAAATGCAGGGGACTCACCCCTCCAAGGGGCATGTTTGTGTTTGTAGGAAAAAGGACAAATTTTTTAATTTCCAAATACGTACTGCAGTTTGTCTGTTCTTGAAAATTGAAATTACTGAAAAAAACTGAAAAAAGAAAAGAAAAAACTGACCAGCTGGTGGCAAAACAGAAGACATGGGCTGAAACAATAGGAAAGAACTGCTTATTAGAGGGAGCTGGTCTGTGGGACTACAGAAACCTCTGCCAGCTGAGGTGTTGCCTGTACCTGTAGCAGGTGTAGCAGGGCTTGATATTCAGATTTAAATCTGCTCTGTGCTTGAGGATCTGTGGGAAAAGCAGAGGATGTGAAGATCTCTTTGCTGGGTCTGTTGTAATGTTGGAAGCAAATCCACCCCTTCCCTACACAGATCCCAAACCTCATCCATCGCCATTTCCCCCTGGGGACAGATGGCAATGCTGGGCTCTGCCAGGGCAGGATCCAGAGCAGCTCACTGAGAGCTTCTAAACCAAGGGACTCCCTCATTTGGGGCTTTTCCCAGCCTGGGGATGGCAGATCCCTCCCCAGAGGATCCCTGGAGCACTGGTGGGCTCTCTCCAAGGGCAGCTCCCTGCCTCGAGTGACACAAACCACAGCAGGACTTGATGGATACCAGAGCAGCCAGTCAGGCAGACACTGGCTGGCTTTTCCACTGGAGCTCTCCCCCTGCTATTATTTATATTCCATTTCACTTGCTCACATGTAACTTAAAACCAGCCCAAAGTCAGCAGCCCCATCCAACCAGGGGCCAATTAGGCTGGAGTAGCCCTCTCTCCCTTTCTTTCTCCCTTGCTCCCTCTCTCTCCCATGGTTTCTGCAGGCAGGAATAAGGCTGGCTATTGTTAGGCATTCCCAGTGGTGGCCCAGCAAAGCCTGGGTGCCAGTTCAGTGGCTGAATATGGGCCCTGTTTATTTTTTCAGAGTGGCAATTTTCAAGGGGTTGGAAGAGTTGTTAAAATTAGCGTCAAGAATTTCAGCCACAGAAAAGGTCCTTTCACCTTATTCTTCAAAAAGCCTGTTGTTTCCCAGAGCAGCCGCCCCTTCCAAGCCGCCTGAAAGCCTCAATTTCCATCTGGCAATAAAAAAATCACCAACTTCAGACCCCAGAATGAGGCTTGGACAGGTTTTGGTGGGATCAGGCTCATTTCCGTGGGTGTGAATGGCACCTGCCAGAAGGGAGAGCATCAAAATCCATCCCTGGGAAAGGCTGAGCCAGCCCAGCCGAGCTGGAGAGGGATTGGAGGGAATGGTGTCGCTCCAAGAGGATGCCAGGAGGATACAAATCTCCACCTCAGCATCAAAAGGAATCAACATCCCCTTCAGGCCTGATGGCTCTTGACATCCCAGGGTCTGGGCAGCATCAGGAGGGAGGAAGGTGATGCTTTCTGACAGCTCGGCGTGACATCTGGCCAGATCCCCTTCCCAGGAGTGGAAAGAAATTGGGATTCCCTAAATATTTGGCAGCAGTAGAAGGGGATTCTTCATAACTGCTGCAAGTCCTAGAGCCTCCCTGTCCTACAGGAGGTTCTGAGTGAGTCCATGCTGTGGGCAGAGGGTTTTGAGCCGGGCTCTTTGCTCTGTTTCGGAAAATGAAGGGCAGATAGGGAGTCTGGAGACGCAAGGATTAGTTGGGTTCCTCCAAAGCTGCTTATTTAAATTCAGGCCAAGGTCTCTTGAGTCAGCAAAACTCAGTGGGAGCTCTCACAAAAATAGGGTCTCTTTTGAAAATCCGCATGCTTCCTGTTTGTGCAAACGCCGTGAGAACTGCCTTTCCCATGGCACGTCTGGGCTGGAACCAGGAAATAGACGGGAGTTTGGAAAGAAGGAAAAATTGCTAAGAAAAAAAAAAGAAAAAAAAGAGAGAAAGATAATCATATTTCTTTTTCCCTCTCAGGCTGAAAGAAAGCTTTGTGTAGTTTGGTGTCCTGTTAGTCAACTGTCCTTAACAAGGTTTGTGTTGGATGATCCATGTGGGATTCAGTGATCCACGTGGGTCCCTTCACTCAGCCTCATTTGAGTTCCTCCAGATCTATTTGAGGATAATTGACATTATTTGGCTATTTGTCCATTGCTTTGAATATCTGGATAATTAATTATCAAGTCTGAACAAACATGTAAACCCCAGAACACTGAAATTATTCAAATGGGTGATTATTTATAAGTTCTTTTGCTGCATTTTCTTTTTTTATTTCCACCCTCAAAATTGATTCTTTTTGGGCTACTCATTAAGGTCTGAGAATGAATATTTTGATCAATTTAATTTATAAGATGAAAACCATACAAGTCTTGGCAGGATGACCTTGGTTAAATTATTAGCTGCTGTTGTTGTTTAGGCCATAGATAAAGAAAATATGTTCAGTTTAAAGTCCCAAAGCCTCTGACTACATCAGTTGTTTTGTTTTTTTTGAACATTTGCTCTTCCTGGATGTTTTCTAGAATTCATGTTGAGTGACTGTACAGACTTAAGTTTCTTTTTTAAATTCTTTGAGGGAATCCCCCATAAAGATCGTTCCTACACAGTAAGAATATACAAACTGTGACTTTTGTTATATTGTTCTGTGCAGAGCTGGGATTTTTTAATATCTCTGGGGATTTTTCAACCACTTGGCAGAGGGGCTCAGCACCACCCACATGTACCAGGTTACTCAATACCTTCATTTTAAAGTCCAGCATGAGAACAGGAATTTCCCTTGGATATTGTGGAATACTTCTACATTAAATATTCCCTATTATAACACAGCACTTCCTGCCATCACCTTCCCACGCATGCAGAAAATACAAATCTCTAAAGATTTCTGGAATAAAGAAGAACACAGCATAACCTAAATATTTTTTTGAGGCTTAGACATCTGCAGGTGTTGTGACACAAGAAGTATTTACTCTCACATTAAGAAGTTTTTTTGCTAAAATGTGACTTCAGCACAGGAGACAAAACATCCCCAGCACTGCTGTGGCTCTGCTGGTGCCATCGATTCTCACGGGGACAGTGTCACCTGTGGCTCCTGCTTCACCCCCAGCCCAGCCCATCCCTTTTCCCCTGGAGGAGCACTCATTTATCTCCCCAAAGGTCTGGCAGGGTGCAGAGTTCCCTCTGGGAACGCTCCAGGCCTGGCTGCTGATGGATGCCCGCCACGGCTGAGCTATTTCAGGGCCTGGGGAGGCACAACTGCCCTCGGAGACAAATTGTGTGCTGCTGATGGGAGCTGGCTCCCAGCCACTGCTGCTGCTCCTGAGCCTGCCCAGAAACCCCCTGCTCGTGCTCCAGAGCTGCTCTGCTCTGCTCAGCCCCTTCTGGGCCGAGCTGGGTTTATTCCATCCTTTCCTGGGGCGTCCCAATCCATCCAGAAGCTGCTGGTGTGTCCGTTCCTGCTGGGATTTCCACACCTGGCACACCTGGGGGCGGCTGCTGGATGCACGCAGGGGTTGCTGGCTCTTCTGGAGCAGCAGCTGGTGGCCAGATGTTGTGTCCCACAGTGCTTCCAGAGCTCTGGGGACAGTTTAATCTTCTGCCACAGGCATTCCTAGGGCTTGTCCCCATCCTTCATGTCAGCTCTGCGTTTCTTTGCCTTTCTCATCTTTCCCATCTCCCGGTATCCCGGCCTGACCTGGCCTCAGGGATCCACCCACATGGCAGTAGCTTGATTTGGCTCACACAGCTCTGACAACAAAGTCCTGCCTCTTCAACAGCAAAATTCAGTCTCAGTGAGCTGCAGCCACTGAATTTGTCTGTGCACGAGGGGCTTTTCCCTTGTTTGTATCCAAAACCCACAGTGAAGAGAATATTTTTGAGCTCTGTAATCCCCCTGGCACTGACATTTGTCCCTCTGCTTCCAGCAAAATAACCCCATTCCCATCTCAATTTCAAGCCTGTGGAAAACCTTCCATCTGTGGATTCTCTGGGATTAGAAATCTCTAAAATGGGAATGAACTTTTCAAGCCTGTCAGCTTCGTAAGGATTCGGTCCTGCTCCCATCTGAGTCCCAGGGGGAGCTGGATCAGAGGGATGTAATCACAGTCAGTTGTTTCAAAGGAGTGCCTT